GCGGAATGCTGCCGCCGCTGTTATCCTGCCACATGCAAATATTCTAATTTGCATATGTTTAGGAAAACACTCAAAGTTGGGGCAGCGTAGATTTTTATGGAGGTGGCATTAAAAAGAGAACAAATGTGGGGGAGGCGGGCAATGCCAAGTTGAGCAAATTATGCTGAGGGGACGTTACGCATACGCACCGTGTGCGCCACAGGTGGAAGGCAACTTGAAAGAAAACACATAAAAAAAAAAAGAAAAGAAAACCAAAGTTGCCCAACGAGCAGCATGTCAAGCGGAAATTGCGCTCAACAGAGAAAGCGGGAGGGCAAAAGCGAGAGAGAGAGAGAGAGAGAGATGGAGAGAGAGCCATTTAACATTCTGTAGCGCTGCTGGTTTCAGTTGCATGTTTGCCATCCAGCTGGCTAATTGAGCAAATCGGTAAATGGCTCTGGCAGCGGCTCACTTCCGGCCCGAGCGTAATTATAAATCAATTGCTTGCGGTGTTTGCTTTGAATTGCATGAATCCGTATCCGTGTCTGAATCCAACTCCATCAGCGTCAGCGTCATCGTCAGCGACAACTTTCCGTTTGCGTGACATTTGCTAAATCCTTGGGGCCATTTTTTTTTTTTTCGCCGCACAAACTCACAGCCGGCAGCCACAATGGGCCACCAACTGGGCCAGACGGCACGCCCACGACCATGCCCACGCCCACTTTCAATTCCATGCCGACCGCGCGCCAGCACTGAAATTTGAATCGTGCCATTTCTACACATTCGCACGGCTGTTTGTCAGTTTTTGTCTGTCTCCAGTTTGCTTTCAATCTGCGCTGCGCTTTTCGTTTTCAATTTCTTTGGAAATTTATTTCATGCAGAAAAGCAAATTTCATAACTTGAACGACCCCGCACCCCCCACCAACCACTCCCCAAGCTCTCTCCCACTCTCTGGCTGCCCTCGTTACAATTCTACTTGAAAATAAATTCTGTTTATATTCCCTGTAGAGGGTATTATTAAAATGCTTGGCGAATATGAAACGCATAGGTGGTAATGTCGCCGAATATTTAAAGTATATATATTCTTGATCAGCATCTAAAGACGAGTCGATATAGCCATGTCTGATTGTCTAGTTTTTTTTTTTTTTGCAAACTTTCCTCTCAACTTAAAAGCTGTTATCCTGAAAGTTTGCATAGGTCGGTCTTTCTGTTGGAGGCAGGAATCGGCTGAATCGAAGCATCGGGGTTCGAGCTCTCATATAAATCCCACTTATATGCCATATATCTGTCTATCTAGGGTATTTAGGCTTCGGCGTGCCAAATAAAGCTCTTGTTTATTTTTGTATGGATTTATGCTCGCATTTGATGCGCTGCCTCGGGCTTATATTATTTTTTGTTGCAGCAAACTTCTTGTAAATATTTTGCTGTGTATTTTTTGGTATGCCGCCCGGCGGCTGCCCGCTGCTCACTGCCACGCCAGCCCACTGGCTGCTGATCCTGATCCGATTTATGTTATATAAATGTGCACACACGAACCTACATTGATTTGTGTGCCCCAGAGCCCCAGGGCTAAAGTATGTGCCTGGCATTGTTTGGCCGTCGCGGCTGTGGGAAATGGCCCCGTAAACGTTTAATAAAATATGATTTCAATTGATTCACAAGTCGCATTTGAATCGAAATGTGTGATATGCTCGCATTATTCGCTGCTGCTGCTGCCGGTGCCGTTTTCGGTGCTGTCCTTGCCCATCCTTTGGCCCTAACCAGCGGGCAATCAATAAAGTAAAGTGCTCGGACGGGCTGCCGAGCTGGCTGAGCTGCCTCTCGATCTCCAGGGGTTACGTGCCCATACAAGGCTCATTGCTGTTTGCCTGCGCCCGAGCACCGGCTCGGATTGCTGCCCTTGTCTTGGGCCACAGTTATCCGCTTAGATCACTCAACTAAAAAACTCAATTTGCATATTAATATTATTTGGGTTTTGGCCGTTGCTGTTGTGGCCCCGCCTCTCCTCTCCTCTCCACTACACTGAGCTACTGCCCTCGCTCGACCTTTTATCAAACAGAAACAACAACAATAACAAACTTCGACTGGCTAAGCAACAGTAGTTGAATTGAATTTGCTGTGCTTCAACGCCTTTTCGGTCTTTGATATGCAATGTGCCTGTGTGTGTGGGTTCGAGCTTGTGTGTGTGCAACACACTCTCAGGAGTATACTTTTAGGCGTTCGCTAAAAGAGCTGTGCTTAATATTAAGCGCCAGATCTAAAAACCCTCAAGTAATCCAAGCATTTTAGACTTTATACATAACTTTATACACCTGTGTTCGGCACGCTGAAGATTAAATATTCGAATATGTCTTCAAAGGGATTTTATTTAAATGCTTTATTTTGGGTCGATTTTCTTAATAAGAGACAAGCTATATAGTGATATGCTCTTGCAGATATGGTGGGACACTAGTGAAAATTTCTAATCTTTGAGTTTGGTTATTTGAGAAATAAGAAAATTTTCAATACTACAACAGTGTTATATGATATAGTAGACAGTATGTAGTATGACCCAAGAACCCCTTTACTACCGATTTTGCCTCTAGAGCTATATTATATAGTAGAGAACGTATAGTAAAATTTGGTTCATGCTAGAACTTGTTAACACCAAGGCTTGTTGTTCGTAGAAACACTTCATTTCTGTTCAATCATTTCTATGACATCCATATGCTATAGTCATCCGATGTTGATTAGATTTTGCTCATATGTCAAAGGCATAGTAAAACTAATAAATGCTAAGATTCCTTCAGGTTTATATAAATTTATAAAGTTGGTGAGCTTTCCTTGTATTCAATATTAATGATTACAATTTGCTCATCAATAATTAATATTTGCTCATTTATAATGAGTACAAGGTATACAAAAATGATTGCTTGCAAATTTGCGGGTAGCATTTACGAGTCAGATGCAACCGGCAAGAAATGCATCATTTAAGTGTCAGGTTGCAGATGCTTGATAAAGATTAACGCAAGATACGGTATACACATATATGGTATATGGTATATGCTTGTGTGATTTATGAAATTGTCACTGCAGCTGGCATTGCGCATCAATGACAATGGGTACTCTACGCAGTGTTTGCCATTAAACCGAATGAAATTTGTTGCAATGCTGACAGCTGCAATCCAAAAGACGTTTCAGCATCGACATCGACATCGATATGTATCCATATCCAGATGCCCATGCCGAGGCCCTTTAAACCATATACATATATATGTATATGTATATATGTATATAGCCATAACTGCCAGGCATGATGGAGTGCCTGCGACAGCAGAGACAGAGAGAAAGCGAGATTCTCGCATACTTATGACTGCCACAGTGCTGAGAATAGTGGTTGCTCCACAATGGTTTGTGCTGGGCGGTGGGTTGTGCGAGGTGGGGTGTTGTCATATAAATCGGCATACATAAAATGTCGTTACAAATATTTTATAACAGGAAATCCGTTATTTATACGCACATTGTGAACGCTGATGCTGATGGAGTGGGTGACATGCTGCTCCCGGTGTGAGTCTTCTCTTGGTAAATATGAATGAATGTTGTTTGCATGTCGCCTGTCGTCTTTCGCCCACACAACCCGCCCGGCAGCCCAGCCGCCCCGCTGCACCGCCAACGTCGCCGCCAATTTGCAGCGGCAAAATCCTTATGAATTGACTACAATTTTATTTATTATTACTCGTTCTGTTTGCAACGCTCCGCTCTCGGCAATTCTCTCGTATTTCTATGGCATTCGACTTGTTTTCAGCCACACAAAATGACGTTCCCAAGGCAATTCCATTATGGCCAACAATCCGTTGGCAAATTGCAAGGCTCAATTGATATTGGCTCTGCTGCATTCCGCAAACAAAGCATCAAACAACAACATGATCGAGCGCAACTTTAAACGATTTTCAACGAATAATTGCTCAACAACTTAATTGGCCAACCCCAAGACCTTGCCTACACACTCTAGAACCAAGCTATCTGATGGGTTGACATGAATTATTCAATTCTTCGGCTAGTTCAGGCATGTGCGTGGCATTAAGATTAAAATTGAGCGGCAGAAAATAAGGCAAATGGAAAACAATCAAAAGAAATAGGTCAGTCTGCAATTGAATAGAAGGGCCTTCTATCAAGTTTGGGCCATACTCCAAAATTCCAATTTATTTATTACTGTCAATCGTTTCTTAAATCGAACCAGTTGCCCAAAGAATAAATGGCTTAATTGAAGATAAAAAACTTCTAAGGCACATCCTTGGATGCACTTGGAACACGGCCATTGCATTTAGAGGAATCAAATGTTAAGCTTGAGAGCTGGGCAGGTGGAACATTTAATTGAATCCGGCTAAATGCAGGAATGTCTGCTACAGCCTACAGAGGATTTAGGTGCCACAAGTGTGGATTGACGATGGATGGATGTAGATGGATCAAGAGGCAAAGTATCTGGATCAGCGCCTAACTCTTAGGCCGAATATCAAGACCACAGCTGCAGGCATAACGATGTCTCGCCTAAACTGGATGTCGTGCAATAGGTTCAAACTTTCCTTGCGGAGGACTGTCTCATGCCCAGCCGGAGATATTCCAGACCTGGGGAATAGCTGCTATGTCGAACTGGACTCGAGTACGGACGCTCTACGATATTGAATACCATGAGCTGAATATGGAAACTGAAGAGCTACTAACAATTGGCCGCCAGACGAAGCAACTGATCTGAATTTCATGGTAGAACTGCAGAACTTTCAAACTGACATCCAACTATTTTAAAGTGAATGTGTCTTTAACCAATGATTAGTTTGATTACTCCACAAGTACCCCTAACTCCTTCAGTCTGCAGTGCATAGCAACAGCAACATGCTGAAATTCCTTGCTGAACCTAATTAAAAACGAAAATTCGCGTAAATTTTTTCCGATTGTTGTGGTTAACACACAACGCCCCTCCGCTGCTGCTGCTAGTGTCAGCGCCCCCTGCATATATACACGCATATATCGAGCCTTTGTTGAGAGTGCTGTGAGTAGCGCACTTTATTGGCTCTGGGTTCATGGTTTTGACAATGGCAAGGCCAATACGAGCCTGTAGATGTCCACCTCCCGGAGCTGCGTGACGCACTTGTATTTGTCGTAGCCCTTCTGCAACAGCTCCTGCTCCTGCTCCTCTTCCACGGGCAGCATCTGTTGGATGCTTTGGCTGAGCTGTTCCGACGTGCGCTCATAGAGTTTACGCGCATCCACACGAAATAGCTGAATGGCCTGCAGCAGCTCCGCATGTCTCTGGTGGATCTGCTCAGAGCCGTGCAGGAACTGATTGTGGGCGGCCAACAGACGCATCACAATGAAGCGACGATAGCGCTGCTTCACATGCCCAATTGTGGGCTCCAGCTCCGGTCGAGCTCGCCTGTAGCTCAACAGCGTCAAGATCAGAATGAGCAGCATTTTGAAGCCGACAACAAGCAGCATAACTGCCATTGGCTTATCGTCCACGCGTTCCAGCTGTTGCTGCCAGCAGAACAGATCGCAACCATGCACCCAGTGACTATAGTCCAACAGGCCAACGAGAAAGATGCAACTGACAGAAACTACGGCCAGGGCATCGTAGTGCAGGCGCAGCAGCAGTCGGAGATGTTGCAAGATTCCGAACATTTTCCAATGGGATGACAGGAATATCATCGGGTTTTGGAATTTCAATTTTGACTATAAATACTATAACTGCTAAAAAACTGCCCTAAAAATCAGTTTCAAAGATTTTAGTGAATATTCATAAAATTCCACTAAGGGTTCATTTCTTCCGTTTGTCATACAACTTGTTTTTAAGATCCACTCTGCTGCACGACTTGTCGTTAGATATGAAACTTGCGGTCATTGACTGATTGATTGAGTAACTGATTGATTGATGTGTGTGATAGCGAATAGTGTAAGGGTCAACTATAAAAGGGCTTTGTAAAACTGTTCCTATTTCAAGCTTGAGCTCGCATGTTTTTTATCTAAATAATCCGGTTAAAGGTTTGGCTTAGAATTCCTATTTCGACCCAGTTAACAGTCTTGCCTGCAACTATTCCATAATTGATAATAGTTTTAGAAATGCTTTTGGTTGGTTGCGTGCTATGAACTTTATTTACAAATGTGTGTTCTTAGTCATAATACAGATCTTCCTGAGACAGAGCTGTTCGTTCTCTGGGCAGCAATGGATTGTGCCGCCTTTGGTCCGGCTGTGTGGCATGTCGCCGCCAATCCACCAGCGGCGGATGATGACGCGGCGGTGTTGAATGTAGTGGCCTTTGTTGATAGAAGTGCTTGTGAATGGTCACCGGACGCAGGTTTAGCTTGAGCTGCTCGGCGCGCTTATTAGCTAAATAGTGTTTTCGATCGATGTAGTCCACATTACGCTTGACGCCAAAGACCAGGTGGAGGAAGGGTTTCACCAGCACGCTTAGCGCAACAAAGCCCAGAAATCCAAAGACGACGGGCGAGATCAAAGTGAAGAGGAAGACGCCCAGTGTGAAGGGATTGAGAACAGTAAAAAAGGCAACGAATTTGATGAAGGGATACAAAACGTGACCCACATGATTGACCCACTCCTTCTTCTTCTTCTTGAACAGGCTGTTGTGCCGCAGCAGATACTTGATCTTGCTAAACGGCGCCTTTGTGCTGGTCACAGGTCGCTTCGTTGTCACCAACTGCAGGATTGTGGTCGGAGCCATCGGCTTGTGTGGATAGTTGTGGGAGTAGTGGCCGTGGTGCGCGTGATAGGGCTGCTTGGTGGGATTGGCAAAGATCAGTTGGGCCTGCTGGCCCAGTACGTGCTGGTGCGCTGTGGGCTTTCTGCGCTTCTTTTTTTTCTTTTTCTTATCCTTCTTCTTGCGTTTCTTCTTGCGCTTCTTCTTGCCGCGGCGGCGTTTGCGCTTGCGGCGACGGCGAATCCGCTTGCGGCGACGTCGAATTCGCTTGCGTTTCCGCTTCTGACTATCCTTGGCGCGTGACGACTCCGCCGGCAGCTTTGTGCTGGACTTGTGCTGCTCCAGCGGCTTAGCTGCTGGCTGTAGTACCTTAAAGCCATTCTCCTGCTGCTGCAGGTCCTGATCCAGCTGCTCGAACACGTCAAACGGCTGCACTGTGGTGGTGCCACTGACAAGCCTATCCTGCTCCATTTGTAGCTGCTGCACTATGTTAAATCTGACGTTTGGCCCTTTGTGCTGCTGCAGCTGCTGCTCCTGCTCCAGCGCCAAGTGCTCCAGCACACTGAAGGGTTTCACTGTGGTCGTGTGTTTAAGTTCCTCCTCCAAATCCAGCTCCAGTTGCTGCAGCACATGAAAGGGCTTCGAAGTTGTAGCTGCAATCCCCTCCGATTGTGTTTCCCAAAGCAGCTGTGCTTGTGGTTGGCGCAGGCCACGCCCATGCTGCTCCCCGTCAGAGCGCGGCTGCTGCATCAGTTGCGCATACAAAGTTTCATAAATTTTTGCAAAATTAAAAACATATAGGGGATCTGCAGGGCCAACGCACCCATTGCGGCCACCAGCAGAGCCCTTTACAGGCTGCTGCGGGGCGCTAAACTCAAACTTTGCTAATCCATCACGCCTCTGCGGCAGCTTCGGCCCGATCTCTGGATGGGTGCGTGCCTGGCCGCAGTTTTGTAAAATCAACAAAAATATAACAAAGTTGATAACAACACTTTCGGCATTCCGTCTTTGCCCCATTTCATTTCATTTTGAACAACTTTGCAGGACTGCGCCACTGGACATAGAACGCGCCAGTCGCGCTCAATTTTTTGGTAGGGCACCGGTCCGACTCGGGTTTTTGATGTTTGATTTAATTTCAACTTTTGCGCTCGACTTGCGAACTTCAACTGACGCTCCGCTCTGGTCATTGCCACATCATCAGCTCGGTCATCAGCTAGTTAGACAGTCGTCAGTCGTCAGTCGGTCAGTCTGTCAGTTGGCCCAAGAACTTGGCAACTTGTTGAGCTGGTTGGCCCTGCGACAAGCACATTTCATTTCATTTCATTTATGTGCTTGGACTTGATTTCTGGCTTGTTCTTTTCCATTTCCATTCCCATTTTCGTTTTCAGTTTCTTTGCTTGTAGTTTTGTTATAAAAGTAAAATTTATTGCTGCTTAGTACATCATCAACGGTTTCTGTTATGACAAGTTCCCCGTACTTATATTTAACAACTTGTGAAGCACTTAATTATGTTTTGAGCGCAACAACCGAAAACTGCTGCCTAACTTGTACGGCAACCAAGTTAACGCCAGCAACAACAACAAGTAAGAGTGCTTTTGGCCACGAACAGTGTTCGACTAGAAAATACCCTGTACTCAGCGCACACTCACAAATATGTTAACTTCATTCTAATCCTGAATACCTACTCAATCACGATCGGTGTTTAGAGTCCGATCGTAATGATAAATTCAGGGAATATACATATTATCCCAATATACGCAAATACCAGAGTCCTGGCGTACATTGTACGAGGGTCCTAATGACACATTTGGTGGTTTTTTATTAATATGAAGAAAATTAGATGAGAAATCGAAATAAAATGATAAACTCGTTCTGCGGTTGGTATTGAAAAATACATGTTATAAATATAAAGCCTGTAGCTTCTGTAGATTCCGAGATCGACAATGTCACAGAGACGGACGGAGGGGCAGGCTAGCCAGGGCGACCCAGCTATTGTTGCTGACCAAGAATATATATTCTTTATGGATTCGAAGATTCCTTTTTCTGTGTGCCACATACGTATGCATCAAACCAGAACACCCCAACAATGCACAAATTTAATGGGTATAGGGCATGACAACAACTGAGAACATTTTGGAGCAAAGGCGAAAGCGAGACTATCACAACAGGAATTATGTGAACTGGCATGCAAAAGACTTTGGAAAGTGCTTAGTGGCCAATTGGAGTTGCAGTTGGCTGGCTGCCTGGCGGCTCTGGGGTCAGCATATTTTTCAACCCATGCTAATGCATTTACTGCTTTTGCCACTTACATATAACTATTAAAGGGCCTTCTTAGATATGTGTTTTAGTTAAGTTTGAGTTAGGATTGCGGCCTGGACAAAGTTTTGCCAAAGCGCTAGTAAATCATAAGATTAGTTCTTGAACCATACAGCATTAAGCGCCTTAACGATAAATGTGCCAAGAATTCAAACTGCCAGCACTTAATTGCCATTGTTTATTATAGCCTCTAGGATATGAGTGGCAATTGCACAATACTAAAGCGATATTTTTTAAAAATGCTATCTGTGATATATGCAGGCTTAATTGCTTTTGTCACGTGTGCTGCTTTTTCAATGAAATATATACATTTTGCTAAATTTCTGCTATGAGGTCAAGTCTCGGTCAAATTTCATCAGATTTGCAGCAGGTTTGGCTCTTTGTTCATGGTTTGGCCTCTAGATTAATTGTGCATCAAAGCCTGGCAACGCTATTTTTGGTCGAAATTCATGTAAGACGATACCCTCAAAATATCCTATATAGACATAGGTCAAAATTTCCCACGTTTTGGCCTCTAGATTAATTGTGCATCAAAATCTGGCAACGCTATTTTTGGTCGAAATTCATGTAAAACGATACCCTCAAAATATCCTATATAGACATAGGTCGAAATTTCCCACCCCCATAACTCGGCCAAAACTCAACCAATTTTCACGAGGTTTGGATTTTTGTTCATGGTTTGGCCTCTAGATTAATTGTGCATCAAAATCTGGCAACGCTATTTTTGGTCGAAATTCATGTAAAACGATACCCTCAAAATATCCTATATAGACATAGGTCAAAATTTCCCACCCCCATAACTCGGCCAAAACTCAACCAATTTTCACGAGGTTTGGATTTTTGTTAATGGTTTGGCCTCTAGTTTAATTGTGCATCAAAATCTGGCAACGCTATTTTAGGTCGAAATTCATGTAAAAAATTATACCCTCAAATATCCTATAAAGACATAGGTCGAAATTGTCCACCCCCATAACTCGGGCAAAACCGAACCGATTTTCACGGGGTTTGGATTTTTGTTCATGGTTTGGCCTCTAGATTAATTGTGCATCAAAATCTGGCAACGCTATTTTTGCTCGAAATTCATGTAAAAATTGTACCCTCAAATATCCTATATAGACATAGGTCAACATTTCCCACCCCCATAACTCGGCCAAAACTCAACCAATTTTCACGAGGTTTGGATTTTTGTTCATGGTTTGGCCTCTAGATTAATTGTGCATCAAAATATGGCAACGCTATTTTTGGTCAAAATTCATGTAAGAAATTGTACCCTCAAATATCCTATAAAGACATAGGTCAAAATTTCCCACCCCCATAACTCGGCCAAAACTCAACCAATTTTCACGAGGTTTGGATTTTTGTTCATGGTTTGGCCTCTAGATTAATTGTGCATCAAAATCTGGCAATGCTATTTTTGGTCGAAATTCATGTAAAACGATACCCTCAAAATATCCTATATAGACATAGGTCAACATTTCCCACCCCCATAACTCGGCCAAAACTCAACCAATTTTCACGAGGTTTGGATTTTTGTTCATGGTTTGGCCTCTAGATTAATTGTGCATCAAAATCTGGCAACGCTATTTTTGGTCGAAATTCATGTAAAAAATTGTACCCTCAAATATCCTATATAGACATGGGTCAACATTTCCCACCCCCATAATTCGGCCAAAACTCAACCAATTTTCACGAGGTTTGGATTTTTGTTCATGGTTTGGCCTCTAGATTAATTGTGCATCAAAATCTGGCAACGCTATTTGTGGTCGAAATTCATGTAAAAAATTGTACCCTCAAATATCCTATAAAGACATAGGTCGAAATTGTCCACCCCCATAACTCGGGCAAAACCGAACCGATTTTCACGGGGTTTGGATTTTTGTTCATGGTTTGGCCTCTAGATTAATTGTGCATCAAAATCTGGCAACGCTATTTTTGGTCGAAATTCATGTAAAACGATACCCTCAAAATATCCTATATAGACATAGGTCGAAATTTCCCACCCCCATAACTCGGCCATAACTCAACCAATTTTCACGAGGTTTGGATTTTTGTTCATGGTTTGGCCTCTAGATTAATTGTGCATCAAAATCTGGCAACGCTATTTTTGGTCGAAATTCATGTAAAACGATACCCTCAAAATATCCTATATAGACATAGGTCAACATTTCCCACCCCCATAACTCGGCCAAAACTCAACCAATTTTCACGAGGTTTGGATTTTTGTTCATGGTTTGGCCTCTAGATTAATTGTGCATCAAAATCTGGCAACGCTATTTTTGGTCGAAATTCATGTAAAACAATACCCTCAAAATATCCTATATAGACATAGGTCAACATTTCCCACCCCCATAACTCGGCCAAAACTCAACCAATTTTCACGAGGTTTGGATTTTTGTTCATGGTTTGGCCTCTAGATCAATTGTGCATCAAAATCTGGCAACGCTATTTTTGGTCGAAATTCATGTAAAACGATACCCTCAAAATATCCTATATAGAAATAGGTCAACATTTCCCACCCCCATAACTCGGCCAAAACTCAACCAATTTTCACGAGGTTTGGATTTTTGTTCATGGTTTGGCCTCTAGATTAATTGTGCATCAAAATCTGGCAACGCTATTTTTGGTCGAAATTCATGTAAAACGATACCCTCAAAATATCCTATATAGACATAGGTCAACATTTCCCACCCCCATAACTCGGCCAAAACTCAACCAATTTTCACGAGGTTTGGATTTTTGTTCATGGTTTGGCCTCTAGATTAATTGTGCATCAAAATCTGGCAACGCTATTTTTGGTCGAAATTCATGTAAAACGATACCCTCAAAATATCCTATATAGACATAGGTCAACATTTCCCACCCCCATAACTCGGCCAAAACTCAACCAATTTTCACGAGGTTTGGATTTTTGTTCATGATTTGGCCTCTAGATTAATTGTGCATCAAAATCTGGCAACGCTATTTTTGGTCGAAATTCATGTAAAACGATACCCTCAAAATATCCTATATAGACATAGGTCAACATTTCCCACCCCCATAACTCGGCCAAAACTCAACCAATTTTCACGAGGTTTGGATTTTTGTTCATGATTTGGCCTCTAGATTAATTGTGCATCAAAATCTGGCAACGCTATTTTGGTCGAAATTCATGTAAAAAATTGTACCCTCAAATATCCTATATAGACATGGGTCAACATTTCCCACCCCCATAATTCGGCCAAAACTCAACCAATTTTCACGAGGTTTGGATTTTTGTTCATGGTTTGGCCTCTAGATTAATTGTGCATCAAAATCTGGCAACGCTATTTTTGGTCGAAATTCATGTAAAACGATACCCTCAAAATATCCTATATAGACATAGGTCAACATTTCCCACCCCCATAACTCGGCCAAAACTCAACCGATTTTCACGGGGTTTGGATTTTTGTTCATGGTTTGGCCTCTAGATTAATTGTGCATCAAAATCTGGCAACGCTATTTTTGGTCGAAATTCATGTAAAACGATACCCTCAAAATATCCTATATAGACATAGGTCAACATTTCCCACCCCCATAACTCGGCCAAAACTCAACCAATTTTCACGAGGTTTGGATTTTTGTTCATGATTTGGCCTCTAGATTAATTGTGCATCAAAATCTGGCAACGCTATTTTTGGTCGAAATTCATGTAAAAAATTATACCCTCAAATATCCTATAAAGA